GAACAACAAAAATTCTCCTTTCAAATAGAATAAAGTATATGGAATATTTTTTCTAAGGATATAACAGAAATAAAAGGACACAAAACCTAATAGCAAAAACAATGCCTGTTGTGTAGGTTTTCCTGCGACAACAACAAGTCACAAGCAAGAAACACAATAGTGTAGAAGAAAAGAAATGAAACGTAGGAGTGCACATACGCACACAAGCATCTTTGAAGAATCTAAGAAATACAAGAAAATTGTACGCAAGGAAATGAAAAAAAAAAATACTATGCAATTGTGTAGGAGTAGAATCTAGATAAATTTTGTAAGTCAGGTAGTTCGGCATAGCCAGGATGCTGCTGCTGCTGCACTAGCACGAATTTGGTGTAGGGGAAATCCTGTGTGCAGGTTTTATGTACAAAGGTACTAAGCGCACTGAGGTTAAGGTGAAGGTTATCTGTTGCATTCTACAGTTGGCTGTAGGTTAACAGTTCGCTGTTGCTGATTAACATACGTCATCTATGCAGACAACTTGTTGCTCTGTTATGTGGGGGTGTTTCGTATGTTAGAGAGCAGAATTGGGCTCTAAAATTTAATAGTATGTATGCCATCTTTAGAGTTCTGCTTGGAGTTATTTGCGGAGAGAATCAAAGAATAGTATGCATCAGCATGCGGGAGAATGATATGATATTTGTATATACATACCAGACATCTGCAGCGGGTGCATGATTTTCGTGTATACTCGATCATCTAACAAAACCCGTTTTGCATCGTTCTCTGTATACGAGCAGAAGTATTGTTCGTTATCGACTGAGCTCAAGACGAACATGTTGGCCACAACACCCGATTGCTTTTCATACATACTTGATTGGGTTCGGGTGCTTTGCAGCTCAATATACCCGGGTGTTCGAGTTTCAACCCGAGTGTGCACAAAATTTTCTTGATTGGCTTATGACGTTTTTGTTTCTACAAAAAATGTTGCCTTCTCATCGAGGTGCTCTTAGTATTTTTGCTCATACAAAATGCGGCATCACGACGCCTACATCCATTTAGGTATAAATGTGTGTAGATCGGCAATGCCCAAGCCCTATACACTCGGAGCACATTTATTTTTTGTAAAAGTATTTATGTACCTACATAGTTTTAGGCTGTGTTCTAATATATACACACACAGCTTTCCACGCGAAACTATACGAAATAGATGCAAACACATTTTTGTCTACTTCGCTTCTAATTTTTTCATTGCGTATGCACAAGCACAAAGCAACCACATTTTCGTATGCTTTGTGGGAACATATTGGCGCCAGTTACCTTCAGCGTAAATTTCTTTGTTGTCCTGCATTTTATCGCAATGTTCGGGTGTCCGTTTCATTGTTACACAAATTTTCGGGTTAGCTGCGGGTGTCCGAGTGTGGTGTTCGCTTGTGCTCAATTTATAGCGAGGGTGATCGAACAGACTCGTTCGTAACCAAAGCAGCTGTCGGGTATGCATCTCGATCGAACACATAGTAGCCGAGTGTGGCGTTCGCTTGTGCTTGATTTTTAGTGAGTGTGATCAAAAAGGCTCGATCATACTCAAAGCTGTTCTCTGATACATACATACTAGGGATGTTAATTTTTTCGTTTTTTACGATCCCGGGAATTTCGGGATGTCGTTATCATAATCCCGGGATTCGTCCTGAGATATAGATATACATTACTTTTCACCAACTTTAATCGAAAAAATTGATTCTATAATGTTTGAGAAGCTCTCCCACCATAAAATAAATAATAAATAAATGGGTTTGAAAAATAATTTTTTATTTAAAGTGGAATTTTTATTTTTTCTCTCTGACGGCAGGATTTATTTTAAAGGACTTTGTAATTTCAAACTTATGATTTACTCCAAAAAATATTAAAAAAATTCAATGCAATGTAGAATAAAAATATGGGTACCAAATGAAAGAGGAAACTACTTTAAAATTTGAAAAAAAAATAACTTTTTTGGATTCACACGGACGAATAGGTAATTTTTTAAGCTGGTAAAGTCATAAGGATAAAATTCGAGCATGTTACTGAGTTTATATAGGTCCTTAAAATATAATTTTTTCAAAAACAAATAAAAATATTGTGAAATTGCAAGGATAAAATTTTAAAATGATATTTTCAGTATTTATCAGTCTTTCTGCACCAGAAACTTGAATCTGTGTAAATTCTACAGAATTTCCTTTTTAATTTGGTACCCATACTTCTTTTCTAAGGACATTTCACTGAATTTTTTTAAATCATTTTTGAATTACGAGTGAAAAACTAAAAACGCAATTTTATTATATTTGGCATATGGTTTAGGGAATATATTGATTTTTGTGTGTAAAATTTACTATCGCACGGTGTTATATGTATAATCAGCTAGAGATTTAGAAAAAAAGTCAATACTGGTCAAGAAAAGGAATTTCTATTATTACCATCAGTGCAAATTACAAATCCCGCCACCTAAAAAAGGCCGGGATTAACATTCTTAATACATACATACTTACATACATATGATTATATTGGCTTTAAATAAATATAATATTTATACGAATAAAGCCAGAATGACTTTTCTTAACGCTTACATAGAGTTACGTATCTTTTCATTAATTTAAAGAAATTTTAAATTTGTTGCTTTAAGCTGTGGATTTAAAACGTAGCGTCTAGAACCTAAGAAGAATTCGCAAAAATATTTCCAATTAATTAAGAAACTTAAGTTATTTACACCTCCATACATATTTATGTACATGTGAGTGCTTTGGTTTTATGCAAATGTATTAAAAAAGAAAATAAAGACGTTCTAGCACGCGGTTTTTGCAAAACTAAAATTTTCTTGACGAAGATATTACTGAAGAAATTTCTGGTGGACTGGCGGTGGTCGGAGAAGATCGGTCTAGAAAATGCTACGCTCTACGCCTACAAAAGCTGTGTAAGTGGTGCTAAACATACTGCCAATATAAATTATAGGAATGCAAACTACAGTCGGGTCTGTTATGAAAGCGATCAAGCTGGAGAGCGAGCCTCTATCCTTTTTATTTGGCACTACAAACTCTTGTCGGTTTATGACGAAACTAAATAGCCTGGACAATTTTCGGATGTTTTTTACAAAGCTCCATCATCTATTCAAACCAATTGGAGATAAATTCTTTTGCAGCTCGTCCTTGAATTGTGTTCGTGAACGGACTGCTTTCGTCGTCTATAGATCTTTTCACCGGAGCAACTTCATATATGAGTACAACATACCCAGAGCGCAGATATTGAATATATAGTTCAGTTTCATCTTCCTTGGTGCCCGTCTCACCACTCGCGAGTAGTGCATCCCGCGGTAGATTGCCCACCTAGCAAGATCCTATTTCTTTTGACTTGGGCACAGTATATTTTCGAATTTCTTTTAGACCAATCTGAGTTTAATAGCTGGTAATTACGCCCGAGCAGATCTTCGACGCCGCGCTTGAATAATTCGGCGGTATTCCATTTTCTCTGGAATTTTTTTTGGCGCCACCTCGTCTTTGACGTGACACGCGCTTGCAGCTACACCTATTAGTAAACCGGCGCCCCTAACTTCAGTGAGCTCTTAAACCGAATGACAAAGTTCACTCTCTTTTGACCGTGAACATTTGTCGTGTTAAAAAATGGTTGTTGGTATAACACAGTGTAGCGTAAAGCGGAAATTTCTGGACGCAGATATCTAGACGTCAATGCCTTTTTAATGCCAACGATGAGGCTAAGCGCTAGCCTCATCCCAAAGCGGATCTCGGTCTTACACTTCAACGAATTTTTTGCGTTGTGTACTAAACAGACACTGCATCAGGATCCGAAGCCAACTTATATCGAAAGCAGTGGGGTAAATTTTCACTTCTCGGTTGGAAAACACGCCTCGGTATTCCAAGCTGGTAGAAGTTTACATATTTGCATTGATGGCTAAGCTGCGCTCCAGCTCTTAATCCGTTAATGTTAGTCTCAGCTAAAGTATATTACCAGACATTGATTAGTTCTCAGCCCGCTACATCCCTCACATTATCGACCGTACGTTAGAACCTCAGTGAATGTTTCATTGAACTATGACTGGGAGGCCTCCAGGGGCTGAAAGCGGGTAAAACTCTTGTTGCTTCCAATCTCATTGCCTTCATTTAGCAGATGGGACCACTTGGGGCATAGCTAACTGGTTACTTCTTGGGGCACATAAACCTGACTGTCGACGGCATCCAGGCCAACCTTACTTTTTCTACTTGCCTAGGTATACGTCTTTTGGCGGCGACGTGTTGAAAGACTAACACCTAAGCTGCTTCGATTCATTCGTAGATCGCGCATATTTAAAGAGTAAAATCGACTCCATTCATTTGAAGCAATGGATTTGGCAGTTATGAATGCTCGGATGATAAGAGCCCTACATTGTACATATTAACAATTTATGTACATTCATGTGCACATATAGGCGTCGATTTGTACGTGGGTATGTTGGCACACGTCACTTTTTTTTTGTTAAAATATTGGCCTTTTCGTTCTGATTGCAAAGCAACATTGTCGCTGTTAAGCCACTGTAACCTGCGCATCACAATTGTACAAACTACAAATTCAAAAAACTGTTTAGTCCACACATAACACAACCAACTGCCTAAGGGGGCTCTAAAAAATATTCTTATTAGCTGACACTCTCTCTCTATATCTTGCCGCTCGCATTTTTGTGCTCCCTCTTGTTCACTACCCTTTTGATTACACTGTAATGTGGTGTTGATCCATCGCAGCTCTAAACGAAGAACCCAAAATTTATGTTGAGGTGCGCGCGAGCAGTTCATGGCACTGATCGAGAACATTGCTAAGGCACGATCACTTGCGCCACTGTTTAACCCTCTGTCAGCGCAATGACGAGGAACAGGGGAGGAAGCAGGTATGCTACGCACTCACACTGTACTCCATGGAGTGGCACTGCTGTAGGCGAGAAGAGTGAACAGAGCTGCTGCTATGTTGGCTGTTGCTTCACTTTGAAATTGTACTTAAGGCGCTACCAGAGGACGAAGGGAATCATTACGGCATTTGATTTCGTAGCAACACAAGCTCGTCTTAGAACAAAACCGAAGAAAATAAAGTAGAAAGTAGTAGTTGAAAATCAGTGCAAAGTCAATCTAATCAAAAGCGAGAAAGAAGTTGTATTAGTTAAAATTTTTAAAACGCAAAAACGCACACCCAAATAAATTTCGCATAAAAATGGCAAGTGTTTGCATGCCACAAACGGGTTACCAGCAACATCAACAACAACACCATTTTCAAATGTTGAACGGCAACATAATGTTGCTACAAAAGGCGCAACACCAACAACAGCAGCTGCAACAACAAAACCTCCACACCGCCGCCTATCAGCACAAGAAGCACCAGACCATTGCACCCGCACCAAAAGTTTTGGGCAACAGCAATCTTCACAACATCCAAGTGGGTGCCGCAGGTGGTGTTGGTGGTGGCATGTTGCCGCGCAAGAAGTACACCTACATGAATGTGCCGTACGGCGAGCAGCTGCCATCGGTGGCACGTCGCAATGCGCGCGAACGCAACCGTGTCAAGCAGGTGAACAACGGCTTTGCCAACTTGCGTCAGCATCTGCCACAAACGGTGATCAATACGTTGTCGCATGGTGGACGCGGCACCAGCAAGAAGCTCTCCAAGGTGGATACGCTACGCATCGCTGTCGAGTATATACGCGGTCTGCAGGATATGCTCGATGAGTCGCAGCCAGCCGAAAGTAAATTTCATGCCGGCACACTCTGCGATGAGTCCAGCAACGATGGCAGCAACTATGGTTACTCCTCGATGGGTAGTCCCAGTGAAGCCGCCTACAATCAGCTGCAACAATCCTATCACTC